CCTCTTTATAATATTTCTGGAAGCAGCGATACAGCTAAGGTTTTATGTTTAGGTTATCAATTATATGGGATGAATTTGTAATGGCAAACCGTAAAGCGTTTGAAGCTGTAAATAGAAGATTACGTCATATTAAGCAAAATAACGAACCGATGGCTGGTACTACAATACTTTTTTGTGGCGAGTTTCGACAGACTCTGCCCGTTATACTACATGGCACAAAAGCTGATGAAGTAAGAGTATGTCTATTGCTTCACGCCGACACAGTGCGTGTAGTACTATCATTTTAGTACAATTTAAACATTTATTGTGAATGATGATTTTATCAGGATCTGACAAATACACATTCAAAAATAAAACATTAATGTCGATACATATGTTGTAAAATCAATCGAAATATTTCAATCGAATTACCTCTAAAATATACGTGTACTACTTTGTACACTATTATAACAAAAGGATACTGAAGAAAAACGATCTAAAATCTATTATTGTTCTTCTTTCCTCTTCGAAGTATGAATTTTATATTATTAGATTAAATCATACTTCCTTAAATATTTAGAGTAGTAGAAGGTACCTCGCTAGACTCCACTGGCATGTACCTTAATTTTCAGTTATTACATTAAAAAAAAAAAGAATCGTATCTAGGACACATTACTCCTTTAGAAGCACAATTGGCAGCCTTATCACCGACAACCTTCGAATAAACTACACTACTTAGGTAATAATAAAATTACAAAGTTATCTTGTACACCAAAAAGTATGTCAGGTTAATTTCTATTTAAAATTTTAAAACGGGATAATTGAGACGAGTGACGTCTGTAAAGTGATTTTATGAGCACGACGCGGACACAGTTCCGCCATTGTGCTAGCCTTTTAATACCCTTTAATTTTAATATATTTATATCATATATATTATATATTATATATATATATAAGAAAATTATAGCCTTTTCTATAGCTTTTCCCCACCTTTACTTAATTTGGTCTGAAGTAATTATTGTTGGACATAAACTATATTATTTTTAATTGGTCTATCTGGCTATCGGTCTAGTGTCCCTGGGATCTACTACTTCACTTTTCTTAGGAATGAGGACAGACCAGATCTTGCCGAATATACTTAGAAGGTGTTCACGCACTGATGGTCATTTTTTATATACTATATATGGTATACCATCAGACCCTGCAGCTGATTTTGAATTTTTCTTTCTAATTTGAGTATCTACTTCTTGTAAGGTTGGTAGGTTACAATCAAATTTGAGACGAGGGGTTGCTGGGTTTTGTGCACTTGGTTCATGATAGCTGTTCTCATGTGTTAGGACCTTGTACGTAGTTTTATAGAGTTCGTAGATCTGGTCGGCCGTTAGAAGCTGTTGTCCGCGATTCTCTTTAAACATATTTCTAGAATATTGGTAAGCGTTTGATCAAGCAATTTGTACTGATACTCCTTGAATTAACTTTAGTATTGATCTTAATACCCTTTTTTTTTCGGAGGAGGGATCCGGGAACTGCTGTTATTAAGACATCCGGACCTGATCTTAATACCCTGGCTCAGGTGAATATCGCCCATGGCTTCGGCATTCCGTAGTCATTTGACAAGGTCCCTCTTTCTCAATTTGATCTTAAACTCGTTTTCATTTCCTTTGCGAGCATAGTGTGTTGCGGGTGTGTAGTGCTCGTGGAAATATGTGTATATTACTGTTTGGATAGTTTCGACTTGGCTATTTAGGTCTTGTTTTGCTCCAGGATGTTCTAGGAGAACTGCCAAGTTCTGGTTGTGTGCTTTCTAAGTGGCCTCTTTTACTTCTCTATAAATACCAGAAATGGGAATAAACTTATTGTACCTGCCTCTAGGCTTACATAGAAGACAAGAATGCTTGGAATTATTTTAGCACAGCCTGTTACTTTTTTACTTAAGTGGAAATGTAGTTTAGGCTAGTGTGTTTTTTAATTATTTTTCCTTTCTTTATGTTTTCGTCACTTTCTATTTTAGCCCATCTTTTTTTCTCTTCATTGCCTTTTTACCTTTTAGTCCTTAATAACTGACATGCTGACCCACATCAAACTTTCAGTATGCCCTAAGTATACACCGTGGTACCAGAGTTATGACAACCCTTTGAATGGCATATTACACAGTTCAATATAAGTGGGTTAATTTTTTTTTTTTTTTTTTTTTTTTTATAAAATACGGAAATGCAAATTTAGAACAAAATAAATACAATAAAAAATTGTCGAATTGGAGCACCATTGATCACACGGGTCACTCACCTGTAGACGCCGCGACGGCAGCGATGCAAAAATGGCGGCAACAGCGAAACGAGCCTAGCGACGCAGTGACGGGACGGCGCAGGCGCCGCGTCGAGTCGCCGAATATTACATTCTTATCACTAATCAGTTACTTCACTTGCTTTTTATTTAAAATCACTTTATCAATTTACTTAAATATGAATACCGCTCGCAACAGTTTTTATTCACTAAATCAATATTTCCTTAAAATTTTATTTAATAAAATAGAATAGAATAAACTTTATTGTAGACCAGTTTAGTACATCATACATACAATAGTATATCAAATTAATGTAAATCTAATTTAAATTTTTAGGTTTTCAATGTGTTTAGTTCACATCAATGCACCGAATATACATGTTTTTAAGTATTTTAGCACACAAGTTGTCATTCTAAAAGCTAAAGCTCTTATTTTATCAAATACACTAATTATCCTCCATCTTAGGTCTTCTATTAAAGTGGCGTCTGTTGTATACACTTCATTTTTAACACATAAAGTCTAAAGGCTCTGAGATCTGGTGATCTAGGTAGCCATCGTGTAGGCCCATAGCGTCCTATCCACTGTTCACCAAAAATGTGATTAAGACGCTTCCGGACAACCACAACAAAAGTTCGACTGTCTGTAGGATAAACACGTTCAGCTAAAAAAGCATTTTGATGGCATTTCCCGTAAATTAGGACCATGTCAGTATACTCCGCGGCTGTAAGGGTCACTCGCGGCATTATGAATGTTAATATCGATAAATCAATATAATTAAAACACTAGTAAGAAACCTAATTTCACACACACACACACACACTCCACAACAAAACTAATATTGTTACTTTCAAAATAAAATCAGCGGGACTCATTGCAAAACAACACAAAATCTTGAACCGGCACCAACTAACCAACTGACCCTCTATTTTCTAGAACCCGGAAGTCATCGAATATTAAATAATTAAATCAATGCTGCCAATTGTCAAAGCTCGAAAAACATTATTATAATGAGTTTACCTGTAGTAATCATTACGTACTGTAAATAAAATATTTAATATAAACAATATTTACGCAGCCTAATAATATTGAAATACTTATTTATTAGCATATTTGTACAAAAAAGCGCGCAATTACGATGCATACTGCAATAGGTTGGTAGCGATGATATCGATGACACAGTAACCAATTACATGCTTCTAATTTATTTTCGCCGACACTGACCAACACAAGTTTATGAACCTTGCTGTCAGACACAGTATTATCTTCCGTATGCCGTTGCAATATGTTTGATTTTACTTTAAAGAAAATCTTATTTTTAATTTTTATTAATTCTTATTTCATAACTTGTGCGGTAACGTTTGTATAGCGACAGCGGGATGGTCATTGACACTTAGTACTTTAGCTTTGCGTAAACATATGGTGTTGTAAAATACGAAACACAAAAATGAGTCCTGTGGCTAAACTACCGAATATATTTTGTTCATATTTTGCAATTCGCCTAGAAATAAAGTGCAGAATATGTGGCTTAAATATTTGGGAAAGGAAATAAAACACCCGGTATAAATTGATTATAACCTAAGTTTAATTTGATATAACTTAGTATTATTTAACGAGGTTTACTGGGATTTAAAGTAATTTAAGCAAGGACTATCGATATTTACTTCGATGATTTTGACACTTAGTTGACTACCTTTAATTTTATTTTCATGTACACTCAAAAACAACAACATACAGAAAATATATAATTCTCTTCTGATACGACAGGTATTAACACCGTACCTTTGAATTGCCTGACATTGAGACGAGAAGGCCAAAATCTCGTATAAAAAATAAGATCAAAATTCAGTTCTGATTTACTCTCCGCTCTCTCGATTTTTACAAATATCAAAAAAGGTATTTTCGTAGTTAAAGAGTAAAATATTACTTAGACTAGCAAATTACCGATTCAACTTTCAGTCACAATACGATACAAACACATTACAGTCAACGTTTAATGTTTAATACTTTGCTAAAAAAAATCGGTTGTCTGTAAAGTCGGTTTACTGACGATAGTTGAACGTGACAACGTCATAAGAAAATACTGATGGAATGGTTGCATTTTTCAAAAATGTATTATTGTATACGAGTAGCAGCTGTCCACGCGGACGCATCGCTCACTTAAGTAGGAGAGAGACAGATGTCGAACGCTGCCGAACGCGGAGGCCGATTGTGCCTCTTTGTCACTCGTTCCGCGCTCTCGCTTGCACTTCACGCCTTAAATGGAACGCCTCAGAGCGAGGTAACGCCGCATGAGTCATGTTTTTTCGTGCGTGCAGCCGGCTCCATCGAATTATAAGACGTTGTCACGTCAAAAATACCCCTTAATGCCATTTTTGCTACAAATAATAATTTATCATTATTCGTAGCATTTGCGAGATCCAGAGTAGATCGCAACTGAATTATGAATGAATTTTTATTACGAGAATTGGTCTTCAGATTGCCCTCGCTGCGGTCACAGACTGACTCAGTTTGTTTCAGGTTGAGTTTAGAAGTTATTACATATACAAAAAATAGTTAATACAAATTTCATAATAGACCCGTTTTATACATATTTAACTAATATAAAGTTTTGACTACAACTGGTTTTATATTTATTACCATTACGTATCACTTCCGTAGTCAAAATAAGTGCAATAAAAAAGTAGTAACATATTATTTCGGTTCGGTGCCTCGTAAATATCAAACACTCCTAGTCAAAATGCCGTGGTGAGTTGACTTTTATTTTCCTTCCGAAAAAATACACTGCCCTTTATCTTATATGTTTTATTTAAAAGAGGTAGATCTAGCGAGTAGCTATTACTTGTTACTTCTCTAAATGTTTTCTTATACTTCTTAATAAGTCGCAATTTTTATATTATTTACTCTTATTAAATATCAGACATTTATTACACATTGATACAACTGAAACATATTTGCATGTATCTGTATAAATAATAAAACTCATTATTGCTATTCTTTTTCGAAATGCTACCTTTTGTTTTATATTTGTCTTAGGTATTCATAAACGTATAAGGATTAATCAATAATACTTTATCTAGTAACCTTTACAACTCTTTTAATTTCGGTATCCCATCGTTATTTCCAGCCAATCGCATGATAATTATCTGAGACTGAAATTCTCCGTCTGCTTTGATGCCTCTCCCTTGAAGTCGATGGTATGGGTTCTTCCGGAGTCGTGGTAGATCTCGCTTGAGAAATTCTCATTCTGTTTGCCTCACAACGCTGCCTACGCTCTTCTTTAGTCTTATTTTCTCGAAGATTGTGAACTCAACTTGCTTTAGGTACCTGTACGCCGACCGATAATTTGACGCCTCACTGGTTGAATTTTCTTATCAATAACAATAAGTAACACGACGATAAACCTCTAAACACACATAAAAACACCGTGTTGCTGTTGCTCAAGAAGTGGTAATTGTATATGACGCAGGACCGGTGTGTAAAATTGTAGTAAATAACGACAACAGTAAATACAATTAAAGTTGTATTCCAAGTTTTTACCAAGAGTTGTACATACGAGTAGATCCGTACAGTCCGACGGTACTAAATAAAGACAACAGTTTATACATTGCTCTATAAGTATATACATTGCATTATATAAGTATATACACGTGCACGAGCAGTGTATATAGTGTTGTCTCGTGCACGTGTATATACATTTTATTTATTATTCTATATATGTAGGGCAGATTTATGAATAATATTTTTGGTAAAGGAAATTAGTTAAGGTTAAGTAAACCTTTGAACACTATTTACCTCCTCTGTTCGGGGTAGGTTACTAGAGTTATTTTTAAATAACCTTGAATATGTTCGGTTTTTTTACCACATTAATACAACGCCATCTGGTCCCAAACTAAGCAGAGCTTCTACGGTTGGTATTAGATAACTGATATAAATACATAGGTTCTTTTTTTTGTAAATACATACATATTAGATTTAGAAACACCCAGACTAAATCAAATATTAAATGTTCATGCACAGAAATGTATGACTGGAGTGGGCATCGAACCCGCGACCATTGGCGTAGCAGTCCGCTTCACAAACCACTGTCAGCCATCCGGCCGTCGTTCAATGAACTGCAATTGTATTTTTAATATAAATATAAAAGACCTATTTCTTAGCGTTCCATTGATTCATCGTTCGGGTACCGGGTCCATCGCGTGATAAATGGGAGCAACACACATGCGACTTCGACAGCGTCTGGGAATTGCGACCCAGGAATATGTTTCGGGAGTACTCACCTCCACAGTCTGCTATGTCACCCCCTCTACCTAACCATATTTGATACGAGCCTTTTTTTGGTGACGGGAGCAATGCCGCTTATGATATTTGTTCAAGAAAAGAGCTTACTGATGCTTTTGGCAATCCAAGGTCTTAAAGCAGGTTGTAGAGGGATTTAGCTGGTATACCCCTCACACCCACTTCCACGGCATACAACCATTTTTAGTTATTTCCTTGGTTACGTCAAAGTATTTGTTTTTTTTTTACAGCGTGGTCTTTAGGGATGTTCGTTTCCCACGGCACCGTGAGTTCTACTTGTACTACACGCTTGATTGACATTGCAAATAATTGTTATTGTTTTATTTATAAAACAGTTATAATACATCGTGTACAATACCAACCACGGGCGGATTACCTAACGCTTTTGCCTCTGCTGTGCAGTTTTTTGCAGCGAGTCAGTGCTTAGTTCCTGAAGAAGCTTTAAAGAATTCTCATGTTCACAGTAGGTATTATTTATAATATTAAAACGATGTTTAGATTTACATTAATATGTATGTGCTGATTATGTCCATGATTTATAAAATAATTAAAAATAGATATTGATGATTTATCTCTATGAGCTTAAGCAGACCTATGTGTTCAGAATCATCCGAGGGCGCCTCTACGTCAACAACTCGGTGTAGAGAGATTTGCGATTACCTCTTTGACAAACATCATCCGAACTTCTTTTCAGCCTTCAGTGTTGTTTATCAAAACTTTAATTATTCATAAGCCTTCTTTCAATTTTTTTCGCCCTCTCAATTTCTATCTCCTAGCCTTTTCTGGACTATTTTAAAACGAACGACCCATTGAAACGGAATCGGGCTAGAGATCCAACCTCGGCAAACATAGGTTTATGCCTCACCATACCTGTTGGCAAACCCATCAGCCAAAGATCGTCTCGTCAATCACCATTTAAAACAAATATCGCAAATCCAGGGACTTGTAGTATTTCTTAAAGAATGTTCTACGCAGTCCACTAGCGTCCATCTCCCATATCTCCCATAGTGGTCCACTCGGATTATCGGTATTAGCAAAAATACCAAGTGCAGTGTTCCTAATACTTTCAACTACGAGCAAGATTTAAAACATATTCTTAATTATGTCGGTTTTTTATTTTTCGTTTCTGCATTACGTAGACGAACGTAAATACAATGTTTCTAATCTTATACGTTTAAAAAAAAATACATAGACTTAAATTATTCTTAAAGTAATTTGTGTATTTAAGAAAATAACGCGGATAAGAAATTACTATCACAAGATAAATTCATTCTTAAGGTTTTACACTAACAAGAAGATATCAAAGTACGTGTTGACTTACTTGATTTATTTTTCAGATAAAACACATTTTGATTTCATAATAGTAGGAGCGGGGTCGGCAGGAAGTGTCATGGCAAATAGATTGAGTGAAATAAAGGAATGGAATATTTTACTTTTGGAAGCTGGAGGTGATCCGCCTATTGAAGCCAGTGTAAGAAATTATTTGATTTTTTCAACATATACGAGGACGTACTTTCAATATATACCTACCTATTCGCAGTTCATTTTCATATCACCAACATTAAAGAATGTTAGCGACAGATTCGAAGTTTTAGGAGTGTGCAAAGCCTTTTTTACTGAATAGACTAAACACAACACTTACGCCATTCGGGGAATGTTTCCTGCCATACCCTCCGTTGGAGAAACGGAGGGTATGGTGCGAAAACATTAAACCCCGCAGCAGCCTACCTCGGCAGTTGGGAGTAGCCCCAGGACCACATTGGCGGTTTCTGGATTCCTCCCTGCCATACCCCATGCCATACCCCATGCCATACTGAGCCATATCCCGGGGTTCTTCGTATGTAGTAAGAAGCGATATGTTGGTTCGTAATTTCTATGTATTATACGTAGTAAAATAATCAAAAAGATAAATTTGATTATGAAATATAGAATTGCTATTTACTATGTAGTATGTAAATGATAGCAAAATATTATAAAATATGCTTTCATAATAAAAAATGAAATTATTAAGGAATTGGTAATAAAAAAAGTCCGGTTTTTCAAGATATAAAAAGATTTTAATTTTGAGAAATACCTACAGTTTTTAGATTTTATTTTTCTTATATATCATTTTATTGTAATACACTTATACAATATCAAGTTTTGTATAGTTCTGTTAGGTATTTTCTATTTTATATATCATTCTCATGCATATTTGTATCATACACAATCAGTACATCATCCAAGAATTGAGCCAGAGGGAAAATATTAGTCAGAATCATTGGCACTTTTAAAATATATATAAAATATATTTTTCGACTGTTGTATCGACTTGCGATTCCAGCCTTAAGTAAAGACTGACTAAGGTGTATTCCTTCCATAATGCTGCTCATGTGGTTATTACATATTTCTATCTGGTAGCAACCATTAACTCTTATATGCTCACCATAATACGAGTGAGTTTGCTTTAATTGGTATGTACCACAAGCAATTAGTACTAAGTCACTGTAAGTTAAAATAGGAAATTCCCTAACATTTTCGGAGCCTACCAATTTGTGCTGAACTAAATGCTTTAATAGGACCCTTAAAGTGGTCATTTATGGGTCTAGAAGAGGTTGGCTAGGTGAGCCAACCAAGCTCCTTCCAGAATCACAGAAGCCTCCTGGGGCGTTCACTGGCTTCTAGGAGCGATTTTGTACCAGCCAGTATGGTACTTGCCCATTGTGAGGCCACTCCCTCGCATTCTAGGATTATGTGAACGGCCGTTTCTTGTACTTTCAGGCATCCTCTGCAAAGAGGACTGTCCGTCGCATTAATGATGAATGGTTGTCGGTTCAGGGCTAGGTGTCCTGTTATGGTTCCTGCAACTATTCGGATATATAGTCTGCTAAGGCTGATCTGGCTGGTGAGACTTCAGTCAGCACCAGTTTGGACTGTCTGCAAACGGGTTGAGTTTTTCAACCTTCGGTTGTGCGCTTCACGAGTACGCTGTCTAACCCAGGATCGAAGTTGGTTAAAAGGTAGTGGTGGAGCGCCCTATTTGTTGTGGCAAGCTGCTCCAGTGCTTAATGAATACCAGAGGTCATTGTGTTGCCCTCCAGTGCTTTTAGGACGGCCATGCTATCTGACAGTATACGGATTGGCGGCGTAAGTTATTGCCACACATTCGCTTTGGCATATGGAACTGTTTTGGCCTAACGCTAATGATATGTTCATGTTTAGTTCTTCAGAGAAAACTCCTCCTCCATTTCCTGACCCAGTCTTGGAACCGTCCGTGTAAATTCGAACTTCGTTTATGCTCGATTGATCTCGGTCATTTTCTTGTGTCAGAATATGATATCTCCTTTTGAACACATGGTGTTTTGGAATTCTGTCGTATAGGGCTGTTAACAGTGGCTCATATTCCACCAATTAATACCATAATTTGGAGTGCGATCTTCTTGCTGTATGAACAAGTCCAATGGGGGCAGACCAAGAGCCACCTCTAGTGCGGCAGTTGGCGTTGTGTGCATACAGCCAGTGACCGCAGAGCACAGGAGTCGCTGGAATTGCTGCAATTCAATCTATTGATGACGGTGCTTAACTCTGTTCTCTGCCAACAGACAACGGCACGGGACGTGATTATTGGTCGTATGACTGTTTAGTAGAGCCATAGTGTAATCTTTGGTAATAGTCCCCAGCTTTTGCCGAGTAGCCGTTTGCATTGGCAGAAGACAATGCAAGCTTTGTTTAGTTTGACTACGAGGTGCCTATTCCTCAGGAGTTTACTATCTAGTATAACTCCTAGGTATTTGACCTCTTTGGTAAGAGTTAGTTGTGTTTGAAATAGTTTAGGAAGTTTAAGATTTCCTAGACTGTTTGTGAACATGATCATCTCTGTTTTCGATGGATTCACTGTCAAATTGTGTGTCACACATCACTGTTCAACGATACTTACTGCGAGTCTCAGTTGATCGCATATAACGCTCTCAAAAGGACCTCTGATGAGGATAGTAAAATCGTCTGCATATCCTATTGTGAGGAATCTACGGTCATTGAGTTGTGTGATTAATACATCAACACCAATTCTCCATAGAAGGGAGGAGAGTACACCGTTTCTAATCCACGGCCCCCTGATTAGGGCTACGGATACGTCCACCATGTCAACGTCTAGGTCACTCTCGCCCGCAGATAGGGGCCTCGACGGGCTTTGGCGGATTACCTCCACTGCCGTCTTTGGCGCGGTGTAGGGCCATTTCTGGCACATCGTCGGGGTTGAATGGTGGGCGGGACGTTTGTCAAGGAAGCTAACGTAGAGGTTACCTAGAACTCTACGCTCGCTTGCCTTCAATTTGATCTTTCAGATCAGCTTTGATCCTTTTTAGGATCTCTGACTGCTTCCTGACCACCAGCTTGGTACCTTCACGCGGTGACGTGATCCCGTCCAGAGACTGGCGAAGCCACCGTAGGCCATGTTCATCATTGCACTACATCTTAAGGGCGCCCTCACTATAGAAGGCCTTACCCCTAAACTGTGGCGCAACGACGGGAGAACATGACGCGCCAGGTAAGAAGATTTCCTCGTCCAACACGCCCTGCAACTGGCCCTCGATGGCCTCTGCCTGCCCCCTGTTGAGATCATGGTAGGGCTCCAGCATGACTGCGACGCAGAGGTCATTAGCCTTAAGCGTGTTTGAGTAACTAACAGAGCTGGTGTTAATCAGGGGTTTCCTCCGCTTACTGCTGCCCAGGGGAGGGAAAGACTCGTCCGGGCGAGTTCTTTTGGCGAGTTTCGCTTCGCACGGTGGTTTCCCTTCGTATTTAGTTACTCGTTTGTCCTGTCCAGGGCCTGCCCTGCCTTGAGGGTACTACGGCAGCTGCCGGCATCTTTACAGATGGCGACCCTGTAGGAAAATCCATGACCAAAACCAGGCCATGGAAAAAATGACATGGATTAACTATTTACCTACTGTGATCGAATCCATTGTTGTATTAGATTTCGAACTTCTTCAATTTTCAATAAATGTCTTCGCATCCGCGTGACGTGTATATCACAATTGACACAGCGTAAATGTCCATTCAGCGGGATCCATGTTCAAGACGTGGTCAGTAAATTAACAAAAATTGTTGGAGTCCATTTAAAGCTGATTAGTTGTATTGTAAGAAAACGAACATAGAAATGCAAACGAAGTTGTGATTACACGTAATGGTGACAGATTATGTCCTTTCTGTTTTAATACATTCGATGTTGCCACTTACCAGACAAATTCGGAAAACGATATTGTTTTTTGTAAAATATAATACGACACCTCCTAAGTATAATGAGTCAACTGACGTTGTAGTAATTTTACAGGAGAGCGATTTGAAGGCAAATCGTTATATATTTTAATGAAATTAAACCTGTTCGTAATAAATTAAATGTTTTTTTAATAAGGAATAGAAGCTCTTCCTTTGGTATAAAATGATTTTGCTGATTTTTGTTTTTAAATGATATTTTTTGTACTTGACTGGGTATACGCCGGCGGGACTCAACAGGAAAATGGTTTAACTACCAGTTATATTCATGTACGTTGTACATCAAAATCTATGGCTTACCCCAATATATTATGAAATATGATTGTCATTTTCATAACGTCATCCTACTTTTGGTTGTTTTCGGTATTTTCTGTCTCACTTAATAATAAAATGTTGAAATATCATCACTTGACTCATTATACTAGGAAAGTACTTGACTATGTTAGCATTTGAAACCTCAACGTATACTGGACTAACATAATTCACCGAGACTTTTTAATTACTCATTTGATTTCTATTATAATATCTATACATAAAAATTATGGGATTATTCAACTTCAATATATAAGTATAATCAAAAACAAGGTGAGGTGACGATTATAGCCTGGTGGTAGAACGTTCGACTGCCATGTCGTGAGTTTCATCCCTGGGCGTCGTTATTGGGAAGTCAGTGCCTTCTATCTAATATCCTGACAACCGGTCTAACCATACGAATATCGGTATCCCTTTGGGTTACGTAGGTCAGATGGCAGTCGATCCGTAGAAAAATGATATTCAGCTAATAACCAGTTAGACCAGCGGCCGACCTTACGAAATGTGGAATCAATAAAGCCTAGAAAGAAGCAGAAGAATCATAAACACAAACAACTCTTTTTATATAATTACAATGTATTTTTCTTCGCTACAATTAGGTAGGAACATATTTTGAACATTACTTAGCCTTAGTAAAAGATACGAGAACAAATCAACAAAAACCAATTATCAATCTTGTCTCATTAAATTTATAGAAAAAGAAACAACAAACAATCAATAAAATAAGAAACTAATGAAGGTACTTCAACTAAATATAGTAACTTACGTTAAACAATATTCATAACAGGAATAGGAACGAATAACATAAATATCTCTTAGATATTTATGTTATTCGTTCCTAGGCACTTCTAATGCCCAATAAACAGCTGTAAGGTTTAACAAAATAAATGAAAATCTTAAAGGTTTAATAAATTAAACGTCACTGTCTGAATCGCTGTCATCAGCTGTGTGAGAGCCATTAGGGTTAGTTGAAATCAAATTATTAAAAAATAAATGATACTCCTAGATAATGATAGACCAGCGTCTTACAAAGATCCATCAAGTCTTTGTCAATAGGAA